TCTCGCAAACCACTTACCGGAAGCAATTTACAATAGTGTTTATGCCAAACATCCAGGAATATCAAATATCATTTTTTTTAAATTGCAATGGCCATAAGTTTTAAATCAATAGAAAGTCATCTCCTCACGCCAAAGAATATCACTCAGTGTCCTCCAGTCGTTTTATATTTATAGAATAAGTTTAAGGACTCAAACGCATAGTCATTATCAATTGTTTCGATATGTTTTTGCATTTAACCGGAGACATATAATTCCGTGTTATATGTCTCTTATGTAACACACCCAAAAGGGTGCCTTTTGAATTTCGTCTAAATTTCCAGAGTTAAAGGGGCACTAGCTACGAGATATATAAAAAATATAAAATATGATTTTTTTTTGTTCAATCATTAATGAAAGTGAAATAGTGAAATAATATATCGCTTTTAGCAGCCAGTATGGTTCAATTTTGTCAAAATAAGCTAAGAAACATTTGATGATGAATTAATCACTTGCAAGTGAATAATTCGACCTCATCGAATCCGTATTCATGTGAACTTCAATTTAACCCCTTAGCTAGAGATGGATACCGCATGCATTGTGCGTGTTCAATTATTTAAAGGAAAAGAATGTCAACATTGAAAGTGAAACAAAGGTAAATCATTTGATTGACTGATTCGATCCACAAAAAAAATCATTCTAATACAGGTAAAACCGATGATTAACATATATTTTAAATCTATAATATGAAATTAAACAGACGTAGAAAACCAAATGCACGAGTCTGATATCTGTTTATATCTATATTTATGTTTATATCGCTTATATGGCAATCGGAGGTCTTCGGGGGTCAACTCGACAGTTAATTAGATGGCGTCTAGACTAAAGTACACACGAAACGAAGCTACATATTATTGAGCCCATGCCCGGTAAACTGTTTATTTTAGACTTTTCATAATTTGGTAAATGTTTTACTTTTTTATAAATCAAATATGAGAATTTGAGTCAAATCGGTGAACATGAATTTGACATCTAGTGCCTCTTTAACTGTCTTTGTTTTTATAAGATTAATAAGAAGCAAGGAGATATGGTATGCTTGTCAATTTGACAACGATCCACCAGAGTTCAAATGAAGTGGATGTAAGCAATCATAGGCACACGTACGGCTTTCCTGGCTTTCATGGCCGTACTTTATTCTGTTTTTGTTTCTACTTTGATGACGATAAAGAATACATATTTTTTCCTAATATTATCCTCTTGAAACAATTATGGTTACTTCATTAGGTAAAATAAAAAGTAATTCCAACTATGTAATTTTAATTTACAGAAGTGTAACCATAGACATTAATTTTTCCTGTACGCTTCCTTCCTGGACGTAGAATTTTAAAAGCTGCTTAAATGGACTGTGCTCTTTTTCAATTTTGCTAAAATGGCTAAATTTTAATATCCTAAAAACGCCCTCTCCGTTGATGGTAAGTTTTTTCACTTAAAATCTCAGCTCCAATGTGAACACAGCTTGTGTTTCATAAAACTTCACACATGCATCTCTAATTAACTACTGATGTAGGATATATATAGTATCGATTTCATTGAAATCCTTTCAAAAACAGATGTTTCTTCAAATTTATAATTGTTTTATAAAAACTAAGTTTTTATCAAAATTTTGACACTAGGAATGAATTTGAATGAATATTATATAAAAATAAGAAGATGTGGTATCATTGCCAATGAGGAAACTCTCCAACAAGAGGCCAAATGATGTCGAAGTTAACAACTATAGGTCACCGTACGGCCGTCAACAATGAGCAAATCCCAAACCGTATAGTAAGCTATAAAAGGCCCCGAAATAACAAATGTAAACAATTCAAACGAGAAAACTAACGGTCTAATTAATGTACTAAACAATAAACGAAAACCAATTTCGAATCGCATATTATACGCATTTGCAGTTTTGGTGCAAATCCTAGCATTAAAAGGCGTATCTCAAAATTTGTGAGTTTTTAATAAATAGTAAGTTTATACCACAATGTTTGTATTTTTGGCTCCTGCAAATAATTTGGAATAACTTATAATACACAACCTATATATTAATTTGCATTGAACTTCTAGCACAAAAGGATGTTTTGTTTTTTACCTCAAATTTCCCCTGCAACCCCCCCCCCCCCACCCAATTATTCCGAAAACCAATTTTTGACATCGATTATCAAATTGTTATTAACACAAGACGTGGGAAGGGGTATTATATAACCTATGTATAATACATGTAACTCAAATTTGATGTAATTCAAGCACATAAAATAATTTCTCGTATTTGGTTTTTGTTTTTTAACAAAAACTTAGTTTATACCACAATTTTTGTCCAAAGTTCCCCCACCTTCTTTTAGTAAATATTAAAACTTCGCGGTTGCGAAAATCCGGACTTATCGTCAATATAGAAGTGCCGACAGACACAAAAAGATGTTGCTCCAAATATGTGATTTTTTAACAATTACTAAGTATTTGGGGTCAATCCCCCATAACAAATAACAAAAATCCCTAGCTTTGACATTGAGATCGATTTTTAAAAAGCAGATCATAAGATACAAATAAATATTTTTTTTTTCAAATTCCAGCACTCTCAAAATTTGTGATGCTACAGTTTTTGTCAAAATTTCACAAAATACGAAAGGGACCTTCCTTTTACAGGTTTAACACTACACGCATAAGAACTATGCAAATCGGCTGAGCCAATCTTGACTGATCGTACGACATAGAAGTGTTGACGTATAGAGAGATAAAGTGATTTCTACAGGGGCGACCACCTATGAATCAGCGGCCCCTAAAGCTATCGTCTGCGACTGCTGCTGCAAATAAATGTTGTCGACTGCCATGAAATTATGTTAATTTTTCAGTCAAATTTAGAGCAATGAAACAGAAAATCTATATTTTGCTCAGCAATCTCCAGAATAGGAAGACGCCTCTGTCCAAGTTTTGTAAAATTCCATGACGGATTGACAATGTCTTTTAAGTTTTAAAGTCATTAACACAAGACTGTTATCTAAAAGTAGACTCCAAATCAAAGTTAATTAGATATTCAAAATATTTGCTCTGCTATTTCTTGATCATGAAGAATCTAAGTTTCGTAAAATTCCATCGGAAGGTATGACAAAGTTATTGATATCTAGAAAACGTTAACCCTGACTGAATCTTAATCATGTTAACGTTTACTGCAAAAAGTCTAACTCAGTAAAGCTCTGGAAAATGAAAAATCATATATTTAAAATTTTGCTTTAGATGCTATCTCTCGATCACTCATTTTAAAGCTTCTTTCCGAGTTTCCTTAAATTCATTTAAGGGTTGACAAAGTTATTGAAGTCTTGACTTGACTGCAGACTGTATTTTTAAAAATTTAAACTGCATCGCTTTGTCTCGCCTTAAATTCGCGACTGTCGTCCCCTGCAGGCGAGACAGTTATAGGTAAAAGTTTGATTTAGTACTTGAATCAATCTGTTTGACATGGTTCACAAAGAAGTAGTGCTTACAAACGCTTACACATGTATACAATAGAATTTCTCATTACATCCGATGTATCTTGTATTTCGCTTGATATTTTGATAATCAAGTATACATGTATTTCTGTTCTATCTATAAGACGTTTATGATTTATGCGTCTTAAATGAAAACCGACCACTGTTAAGTCCGAATTCTTTTCTAAATTATATGAATTAAGGGTAGAATATATGTCAACAGGGTACAATTATATTTTTAAGAAGCATTTTTTAAATTTGTATTTCATTTCTTCATTATTTTGTGAGAAGGACCGTCAAACTAGCATGGAAGTTTTGCGTTGCTACAATACAAAGAATCCTAAAATTGATCTATTTTAAAGTTTTTTTTCAGACAATCGATTACAAATTTTCTAAATTATATTACTAAAAGCTCTGAAAAGGTGTTGTGGAATATATGTTACAGAAACAGAACGCTTCACAACTGTATTAAAACAAGAAATGAAAGTAATTTCTATAGGTAAATCAGAATATTTTATCTAAATTATGTTACTTAAATGGTCTGACTAAAAGGTGTTGTGGAATATACGTCACAGAGACAGAACGCCAACACACTGTATTAAAACTGGGACTATTATACTAACTGTCAATATAGTATGTCCCAGATTAAAACAAGAAATGATATCTACGTTTGGTTTTATATAATCGATAATTCATACATTTGCCATTATGAATAAGATATGACATTATTGCATATAGCAATCATCAAGATTATTTTTTATAAAACTGTCAGATAAATGCAATGCAGCTACATTTTTATTTTTCCAGTTGAGACTTGCTGCATTTGAAAAATGGACGGGACGTATGTGAAAGAAGTATACTAGTGTCAGTACAAATATTATACGTCAATGCACAATAATAGGAAAAATAGATTTGAAACAGTTCAAAAAGTGCATGCATGTTATTGAAACAAAACAAAACATAAGTTTGTTTTGGTCAGATATTAACACAATTGTGTGTCGCGAGAAAGAGAAAAACATGCATTCCCCCAAAAAAAGATGAATGGTAAGTGCCTTATCGGCAGGCATCATCAGTCAAGTCATACCCACAACCTGACTTTCATCTACGAGCGTCTCAACCAGGAAAATGACTAACCGGAAGTGATTCAGGTACAAGTCATACAGGGGATCAGAGTAAACTAATCTAGTTTAGACATTGAAATTGTCGAGTTTCGAATGTCACGGAAAACAATCTCATTGACGAAAACATCAAAGGCACGACTCTTTTGACTGCTGTCCTTCATTTTGAAAATATTTTGTCGTAGGAACCCGGATAAAATTAAATCGTACATACTGAATGTATTCTTTTGAAGTGCTTTCTTTCGGCTAATCATATTACATTGAGTACTTCTTTCCTGTGACCTTTTAATATTTTGTATATTGTGCTATGTAAAAAGCGGTTTACTACGTTGCAAACAATTTACTTAGTTTTTATTTCCGCTTGTCACGGGGTAATGACAACTTTTTTTTTGTCTTTCAGGATATTTCGGTTGTTCAAACATTACAAACAAAAAGACGCTTTGACTTATACGTAAGTAGTTTAAAGTTTAAATAAACATATTTTATTTGCAAAAAAAAACTCACAAAAAGGATTAGACACAAGTTAGTCCAACTTAGATCGTCTTCTTCTAAGATACAATATTAAACAATATAATTTCATAGCATGCAAATATCAAATTTATTATTACACAATATATAATAAAAAATCTGTAATTTTAATGATATATTAAGAAACAGTATAGAAAAAAGGGAAGATAGGAAGAAGGGAAAAATAAATATGCATGAGTGTGTGTGTGTGGATCACTACATTCAGCTTATACACATGATTAAACAAGGAACCTTTTGGTCTTTTTTATATAACCAAAAACATTTCTAAATATTTCTTTGTTTTGCTTATTTGTCAGATTTATACTACCAGATGTTAAAATCTTTAGATCCAACACAAGGTCATCTGGTAACCAACTAAGACTATTCCTAAGAATGTGACGTAAATTTGTATATAAAGGACATTAAAAGAAGAAATGATTCGAATCTTCGTGGGGAAACCCACAGCGAAAAGATGGATCTGATACAATATTTATTTGAAAGAGATCATAATTAAGAAATGTAGCTGAACATCTAAATTGCGTTAAAATAATATTGAGGTTTCTTGGACCAAATGCATAGTAACTAGGCACCGTTTTATTACCTACTGTAGAACTCTTTTTTAATTTATTTTTAAATTTTGATAAAGTTTCTGTTTTTCGCACGGATATGTCCAATCTATTCCATTGCCTAATAGGTGATGGGATAAACGAGTCACTACATATCGAAAGTCTACAAAAAGGTAACATAATATCATCACCATTTCTTAAATGATATGTAGTTAGGTCTTTCCACTTTTCTGTGGAAAGACCTATTGTATTTGTTCTGATTATTTTTTTTCTTCTTCCGCCAAATTTCAAAACCTGTTTTGTGGTTTTGCAAGATGTCGCTTAGATTTTTTGCATATGATATCGAATAGTTATTGCGCTTTTGAGACTGACCCTGTTTAGTCGAAGACTTTTTATTGTAAGAATTATCTCCCCAAACACTGTTTTCTCTGTTATGAAATCTCCTCCGTAACCGAAGAAGAAAGCGACAAATTTATTTTACCAAATTGCTCGCTATATCCTCCGGATTTTTTATCCAATTTTGACGGAAGCTATACGAAGATTCCATATGAGAGTTATTCCCCCTAATGCATTTGAAATAAGTGATATGCATTTGTAACTGGTAAATAATAAGTGATAGAGACCTATGGTCTGTTGATTTGAGCTCCTTGGTCCAAAGAATAGAAAACTATAAAGATATATATAAAAGAACTAGTGCAAAATGTTTGCCTAATTGTGATTGAGATATGATACATTTGGTCTGAAACAATCCAATGACATCTTATAAGAGTTATTGGACCTGAAATGATTCAATTTAAGGTTAATTGATTATTACTCCAACTTGGTACATGATAAAGCCATGGGGTCTTTTGCAAACTGTTGGTTGACATGTGACCTTGAAAAATATCAACCGAAAGTGACCTTGAGTAAACCGGAAGTAATCATTTTTGCACTTATTTCATGGGAAAATACCTAGAAACTTTATATTTTTTAAATACGCATACATAAACCTATCATTTGAGACCGGAAGTGACCTTAAATGAAACTGAAGTACCTAATATCTCCCTTATTACAGTAAAAGTATATAGAAACCATATGTTTTTGGAATCAGTGTAAATAAAGCTATCATGTGAGACCGGAAGTGCTATTTTTTAAACCGGAAGCTGACAATTATGTCCCTTATTTCAGGCAAAAATATATAGAAACATTTATTTATTGAATCAGTACGAAGAAACCTATGCTCTGACGCCAATAGTAACTTTGAGTAAACCGAAAGTAGCTTATCTTAAATAATTTATAAAATTGATGTGGAAAGACCTTCAATTGTTCTCTGAAAAATTGGTTTTCAATTGTACTTTGTATCGATGGCGGAATCAATTCACAAAGATAATTAGGGGCTTTTCCGTTATACGCGTTGTAAAGCATTTGCAGTTTTCTTCTTCTGCGACGGTCTTGAAGATATTCCCATCCAATTTCTCTATAAATATTATTTTTATTTAGAAAAATATGTAAGCCATTTACAATTCTTGCAGCTACAAGTTGCAATTTTTCTAGTTTGTTAGTATTACAAATTCCACAGTTATCCCAATCTTCACTGGCATATTCAAAAATCGGTCGTATATATACTAAGTATGATTTTTCTAAGTTTGTATTTTAGCTTACGTAATGTATTTATATGTTTTGATACACTAAGTACAATGTTATCGATGTGCTTATTCCATTTTGCATCGTTACTTTGTGTAACTCCAAGGTGTTTGTGGTAATCGGTGAATGGAATATCTTGCCCATTAAACGTAAAATTCATATTTGGTCCTTCGATATTCGAGAAAAGCATAATTTCTGTTTTATCTGGATTGAATGACATGAGCCATCTTTTTGACCATTCATCTAGGATTTTCAGGTCATGATCGATTACAGTTTGTATTTGCAATCTATCATCACTCGAAAAACTGAGAGAAGTGTCATCGGCAAAGAGCCTAATAAGTGATAATAGATTCTCGGCAATATCGTTTATATAAATGATGAAAAGAAGAGGTCCTAGGACCGACCCTTGGGTGACACCGGCTAAAACTGATCTTTGAGAGGAACAGGACTGTTTGATTATTACCCTTTGTTTTCTTTCATTGAGATAGCTATGGAACCATTTATGTAAGTTACCTTGAATTCCACAGGATTTTAATTTGTGTAAAACCTTATCGAACGCCTTAGAAAAATCACAAAAAACATAACAATCCGTCTCCTTTTTTTCCAGTGAATTGATAATACAATTGTACATTTCTATCAACTAATGAGTAGTTGAAATTTTAAATCCAGACTGGTATTCAAAAATAAGTTTTTGTGTCTTCGTAAATGGCTACACACATGTTTATATACTTCTCGTTCCATAACCTTTCCCACACAACTTATTAATGATATTGGGCGATAATTAGAGGGAAGGCAGCTATCCCCCTTTTTGAATGTAGCGATAACACTGGAAATTTTCCAGCTTGATGGATATTTTGACTGCTTAAGGGATTCATTAAACATTATTTGAAGGAGTATGGCTATCTTTTCATGACAAATTTTTAACATCTTATGACTTATTACATCAGGTCCCGATGCCTTGTTTGGATTTAGAATCTAAATAACATCAACAATTTCGTTTAGATTTATAGTGATGTCATTTAAAATAGTTTCAGTTTTTTTACAACATTTGGTAGAGGAACGTTTTCTTCTTCTAATGAAGAAATTAAACTAAAATATTTGTTCAAAAGTTCGCATTTCTCATTGTCCTCATAGACAATATCATCTAGACTTTCATCTTTTATTATATTTTGAAGTGGAGGGATATTAGGGAGGCGGGGCTTATTTCATACACGGTTAGTAGTGGTGTTACGTCCCTTTATAAAAACAAAACGGTACTGAGAAAAAATCGTAAAGGTTTCAACAGACGAAGAGTGTGATGATTAAGATTGAAATTAATTCATAAAACACATTTAAACCTAACAAGTTGTTATTGTTGGTATCTGTTTTTGTAGGATCAATGGAAGTAGTTTCTTAATGCTAACAGTATTGAAGACTTGCTCATTTGATAGGTCACTAGTCTAAATTTCACACGTTAAGATAGTCGGTAAGATAAATTCGTTACATAGTGTGCTAGTGACCTAATACGGTATATATGGGGTCAGTAAATTCCATATGGGGATTCGAGCTTCGCTCTCACCACATATGGAATTTACTGACCCCATATATACCGTATTAGGTCACTAGCACACTATGTAACTAATAATATCTTTTAAAGTTAGATTAAGCCCGAGTTTGTTCACGCCTGGTAAACCATCAAATTTCAACCAAATGGTTAAGCGAGAAAAAAGTTTACTGGCACTTCCTGCTGAGCTTTTCTGGTACAAAATATTAAAAATAAAGAAAGGATGAATTTTCATCAATTTATTGCCAATCTGTAAATATTTTGTTAAATAGGAGAATGTCATGCCATAGATAACAAAATGAGAGCTTGTCTCGTTCATTACTCGGACTAATATAATTTTAAATGACATCGGAATGACTTTTCTCCCGCAGGTAAGTGCAGCCAGCTCAGTTAGTTTTTGACAAAACGACGGTGAGTTCATCAATACGTTACGTATATATCAGTATATAAGTGTTCTTCTTCGTCACTATGAACGTATAATAACAGTTTTTTTTTCTATTTTTTAAGAATATAGTTTTGTTAAGCTGAATATGTTATAAAGTATATCAGGTTGAGAGTAATGAACGAGACAAGCTCTCATTTTGTTATCTATGGCATGACATTCTCCTATTTAACAAAATATTTACAGATTGACAATAAATTGATGAAAAGTCTACCTACCCTATCTATATTTTTTTATATTTTGTACCAGAAAAGCCCGACAGGAAGTGCCAGTAAACATTTTTCTCGCTTAACCATTTGGTTAAGATTTGATGGTTAACCAGGCGTGTTGTTGTTGCATACATTTAAAACCAACTCATCTGTATTGACTGGATGTTGTGTACGACCTCGTTCATCTACTGGAACATATATTTTATTAAATCTTAAACTTGTTCTCCTAGAGTATTGTTCCTGGTTTTCCATCCTCTCTTCTAGTTTTGCAACTTTTTGATATAGCAAATCAATTTCTTTATTTTGTTCCTCTACAATTATTGCCTGTTTGTGAACTGAACGCTCTAGCTTATCTATTTTTATGAACTGAATAAAGATTTTTTGTTTATTTTTTCAATTATCTCTCTCTGTTCTTGATTTTTTTCATTTAATGGTTTGATATGTTCATCAACACTAGTTTGAATTTTGTCATCTGTCAAGGACGAGATTGACTCACTTATTTTATTAGATAGTATAGGTATGACTTGGTTTAGGACGTCATTACTTCTTAGAGCCTCCAAG